ACAAGAATGCCCACTGAAAAGACCATTCTTCCACTAAAGGAATCTGATTTCTTTAAAGCAGTGATGACCCTTAAGAAATCTTGTAGTGGGGAGAAGGAGATTAATGATGTAAGATGTCCACTCTCCAGGCCATCAATGCTACTGCTGTTCCAGAAATCTTCCAGTTGTGCTCTTTGAAAGATCCATGCTGACATGGGGAGAACACCCCACATAAAGGGGAAGTCACCTGGCAATTATGCCCAGGTAGCACCAGTTATGTGGTCTGTATGTGGCAAGATTTCCCCTGGCAACTGGGTTTGCATCTCCCGCATTTTCTGAGTGGCAAAGGAGACAGATGTAAGCTCTGGAAAGCTGTTGTAAAATGTTTGCACCCCACAGTCCTGATGCTCACAGGTGGAGTAATTAAGAGTATAGTACCAGGAGTGGTAAAGAATGTGTAGGGGAAACAGTGGTACAGGAGCTTTTATTTCAGAAGTACACCACAACACTGGCTCGGATTTACAATATTCAATCACGCAGCATCCCTTGCTGCTCTCTGCCCTTGATGAGCTGTCTTCAGAATTTATGCTGTGCTGTAGTCATCAGTCTGCCACATCTGTAATCAAGCCAGGTTCCCACCTTTTTTTCCTTCCTTTTTTGTTTTTGTTTTTTGCAACAGAAATCTCAGGAAAGTGAGATGTCTCACTATCAATGGGAAACTGTGAAATTAATTCTTGGTGCCATCGCTGACAGCCAGATATTTCTCAGAACTGCATAGACCTTTAATTGATCAGTTGGATACAATGAAAGTGGTATATGTGTGCAGGCTCATTTTCCCCCTTTTCTATAAAAGGGGGAAAGTAAGATTAACTATTGCTGACACTTTTTGAGCAGAAGAGTGACTATTAGGGACAAGTGGGGGGAGTTTTATAGGTAGTCGGTATTTATGTGTAAAAAAAAAAATCAACAAATTGAGTGTAGCCTCGCAACACATCATGTGAAAAAATGCTTTGTTCTGTATCCAAATTGCTCTAATTTAATTTTTTTCCAAGCCATTTTTTAAAGCCAATATAGTAGAGTTCATTCTCAGGGTTACACGTTCCAAGACAATTAGGAGCTCACAATTCTAGAGACAGTTTGTATTCTCAGGCTACATTGTCCAAGGATATTACCATCTCCTTGAAATAAAGGACATTCCACGCTATTGCCTCAAATCTTGCAGCAGGAGGACTCATTTCTGAGAGAAGCGTATTTGAAGCAGCAGGGTTGTAGCTGGCAGTGAAAGCATCTCCAGGCAGAAAGTAACCAAAAAGAGAAGATCGTCATCTGGATTGGGAACAAAAAAAGGAAGCAGCGTTTAGAAAGAATGGCTTCTAGAGGTGCCAATTCAAAGAGCAGGCATCATCTAGGATTTATTTCTAGGCTCCATTTTGGTGATTGCTCCCCAAGAGAGCAATACTGTAAGCCACCTTTCTCCAACCTGATAAGGTGCACTTCAACCCCAATTATCCAGGCATGTCTGTCTTGAAAACACACATTCATCTGAAGTTATAACCCAAATTACCGTTAGTTCAAGCCCCAGAAAAGCAGGATGTCACACTGGGGTGGGAACAGGGGTAAGTTCCCCAAGCTGAACAGAATAACATCATTCCTACCTACTCTTGGAATGCCATATGAGAAGGAGCTAGAGAGGCAGCACAGGGGCTCTGGGGTGGCCACTTCCCCCACATGCCTGCTTCTTGGGGAAACATGTCTGGTTTCCACATAAGATCGAATGAGAAGCAGGACCTCATTAGCAAACCATAATATTTTGTAAGATACTGAAGATGAAACTTAAATACATTGGCCACCTAATGAGAAGGAAAGATTCACTGGAAAAGAGCCTAATGCTGGGAACAATTGACAACAAAAGAAGAAGGGGACGGCAGAAGATGAGGTGGCTAGATGGAGTCACTGGGGCAGTGGGTGTGAGCTTGTTGACTCCAGGGGATGGTGGAGGACAGGAGAGCCTGGAGGGATGCTGTCCATGTGGTTGTGATGGGTCGGGCACGAATTCACAACTAAACAAATACTTCATATGAATGACATTTGCACTGAGTACTTAGTATGAAGTCATCTTGGCAGGGAAAAAGGAAAGGAAGCAAAACTGTGATTGTGTTCATTTGGCAATATTAACAAAGTTGCATTTGGAGAACAATGCCATGACCCATTCACACTTCAGAGATTTCAGATTATACAGACAGGGCTTCAGGTAACCCTTCCTGCAATACATCCTTCCCAAACCTGCTGGTCCCCAGATGTGCAGATTACAACTATCATCAGTTCCAGCCAGCTTGGCCAGTGGTTAGAGTTGATGGGAGTTGTATCCACAATACCTGGAGAGAACTGGGTTAGAGAGATTCCTGTAATATGCAGCAAAAGTTATGATGTTCCCAAAGTGGTGCTATTTCTGTTGTTTTTCCTGTGGTTCTGAGCTGAATACTGAACAGACTCGACTTTCACAGAGAATTAGGCAACTGAGAAACGTTTAGGTGGAAGTAGAGTGAACACAAGTTATTTTTCTCTGGATCTAGTCTCATACTCTCCCCGATCCAATGCCAGAAAAGCAGGTTCATGCATTAATTGGGGCTATTTACACTAAAGGGAATGGGGACTTTGCATTAGCCTTCGTACAGAACTAATGTTGAATACATGAGCTCAGGCAAAGAAGAAGGCAAGATCTCAGACAAAATTTATAGAAGCAAACCCCTCTTTTCTATCTCCCTCCCTACACATGTCCATGGTTACTATAAAATGATAGATGTTTAGAGTGTGTATTTTGCCTAGTTCAGCCCATTATGGTGCTTCATCATCATCATAAACTAAGCATTTCTTCAAAGGGTTTAGGCCTTGCTTTTTCAGCCAGAAGGGCTTCCAAATCAGCTTCCATGTCCGTTAAAAACAAGACAGCCCCTGCCTGTAGTCAGACAGTCTAAAAAGCCATGACACAAAGAGGAAAAAGTGATGGGGAGGAGAAAGAAAAACAAGATTTCTCAGCGACAAATTCTTGATGTTATATACATCTTATAACCACCTGGGGCTATACTGCTGATATAATACTGTGATACTGATAATGCAGCTGGACATTGTTGGACTTCCTTTCATGGCCAGCTGGCACAGAGACAGATCAAAGAGAAGAGGGCCAAACGCTGTTTGTCTTTGAGCTGAGCCAGTGAAGGGGCTCTGCTTCTTATCTCCCTCTGGCTGGAATGGGTGCTGCATGAAAAGTTCTTGGGAAGGCAAAGTGTGATGGAGCATCTAAAAATATTTTTAACTGCAGCTTTCTTTAGTTTTAATACATTTCATACAGAATTTCGAAATAATGTTTCCCACGTTTTTAACTGCTTCATTATCTATCATTTTCTGTTCCTCTCTGTTTACCCAAGGTGATGCTTTGTTTACATTATCACTGTATGCTGGGGCCAGATTCTGTACTGCACACAGAGAAGTGCATTTATTCACAGATATTGTGAAGAGAAAGACAGAGACAATAAACAGAGAGTGACAGAGAAGCAGCAGGGGATGACTCTTAAAAGCTCCTCTCCCTCTCCCATACACACACTGGTTGTAGCCTACTGGGATGGGACATTACTGCAGGGTTGGAGGAAGGTACCTCCATCTGAAGTGAGAATGGACTAGCAAGATGTAGGTATTTTTGCCATATCTGCATCATGGCATGTAGGAAGAGATTGCTGGTATCTTAATTAGAGTAAATCTTATATAAGCTGGCAATATATCTGAATTAATTTTTCTCAGGACGCATCACAACTTGGCAGGTGATGCAGAAAACAGAGTAAGGGTGTGAACATTCTAAACTAACACTCTTAGGACAGGAAAACAAAGGGGGGGACTCTAATTGCTGTGCAGTTGTGCAGAAGTATGAGATTGATACCACTGTTGCTTGACTGGTAGATATGGCATCTGGTTTTAGCCTAACTGTATCTATAGGCAAAGTGTTCCACCCTAATTTAAAAAAAATAATAGTAATGTTTGAGCGTAGTGCCAAGGGATGCTAGGAGAGTCCCTGTTGATTCAGAAAAGAGATGGAACTACCTACACGTGGGTAGGTAGCTTATGAACATTTAATCATTATAAATCATCAATAAACATGTAGCCTAAATGTAAATTCAGAGTGCTTCCATGGTTGAATCTAGGGTTACTTCTATCCAATTGGTTTGCTATAAATATGATTAAGTTGGATTTAACATTACGTATTTCAATAACTGGTAACAAGTCACTAAATTTAAAAATGCTGTAAATGACCATTCATCTTTGTAACAGGTAAGCAACAACAGCAAACTGACTGCCTCTCTCAATTGTACCACTCAGAAACGGCATGTTTATACGAGAGTAACATGGGGCACATGAGATAACATTAAATGATATTATTTCATCTAGGATATTGCAAACATTGAAAAGCATTTTACCTTGCTTTGGTTTCACCTTTCTACATACGCTTGTTTGTCAGGAATAGGAAGCAAACTGAGATCTGCATTAAGACCTTCTTTATATAATAGTCTCATAAGAATTGCAGTTGTAGCAACCTTACACATCTGAAAGTAGTTGCTTTATAGTAGGTTCTAAAGAGGTAGCAATTTTCCTCCCGTCAACCTTCACATCTATGTAAAAAATTATTCCAAGTCAACTGCCATGTTGCCTTCTCACTTTAGCTGTTACAACACCTAGGGTTGAATTTGAAGAGTTGCATCTCTATTAATTAGAGGGATTTTGATGAGATGTTGTGGCAGAAAATTCAAATGGACTCCATTATGATTAAACTGCACATTAGACAACTGACTGCATTTTAGTAATGCCACAAAATCTGCCATCTGATGCAGCTGCCTTGTTTTGCTCTTGTCCTGACACAAGTGCTGGAAATGAATTTGATTTGTTTTCTATGGTAAGTTTTACAGTAGGTTGTCATTTAAAATTAAAATCTGTTATTAAAATAACATCATGATGGAAGTTATGTGTATTTATAGGGTGCTGTGTTAACACCAACAATGGACCACACAATGTCCATGCAGCCAGCAAGTATGATGGGGCCCCTGACGCAACAGATGAATCACCTTTCCTTGGGTACAACAGGAACGGTAAGCCTCAACAATGTGCTTTAAATTCTTGTTTTTAAATCCTGCATTCTTAGCTTTTACGTTCTCAAAGATTATTCTCCATCTAATCAAATAATTTTCAGTCCAGTCTTTATGATTAGAGCATTATCGCCACTAATTAATTGTTCTTTCTGTACCAATTTGTAATATATTTTAAATTTTGGTAAATATAGAACTAGCATATGAAAATGTACTTCTTGATGTGATTTTTATATCTATAATTAATATCTGCCATTGCTGATGTTGTTGTTGATGTCTTTGTCGTTATTAATTGCCCTCAGTTGGACGTGGCCCATAGAGAGGATGGTTTTGTAAAAAAAAAAAAAAACCACTGGAGAGGGTTTTTTTAAAAAAATCATACCATTTTCCTCATTTCCGGATTTCCAGTCCGAGATAGCATTGCATTCATTCTGCCTATAAAATGCTGAAAGTGTTACTCTAATACCCAGAAAGGACATTTCCAGGGTACTAATGTAGCCCTGTGATGCAGAAGTCTCTACTTATGCATTTATTACAAGGTATGATAAAAGATTTTATTACGAAGTGTATGCCCCTAGATAAGCATTTCACCACTGTGAGGCAGATGTACAAGTTACTTCTTAGACTACAAGTACAGAGAATAGCAACTCATTCACACAGCTGCTGTTGTCATATCCACATAATATGCATACTAAAGATCCTTACATATATGTATAAATCAGATACATTTTAATGAGTTGCTTCAGCAGAAAATCCAAATGCACCCCATTTGGGTAAACAGTAACTATGAAACTAAATACTTAACAATTCACCACCCTTTAATGATGCACCGAAATCTATCGGCTGAGGTGGCTGCTTCATTTTACATGTACCAAGATTCTGGTGATTGATAGGAATTTGCTTTCTGTTGTGTAAAACATTAATTAATGAAACAGGATGCAGGGCACAATCCCATTGGGATGCTCATGACCTTCCATATTCAGAGAACTGCAGGAATCCTATGATGAGCAGAAGCAGTGCTCTGGTGAAGCAATGAAACAGCTTATTTCAGCCTTCTAGCTGAAGAAGTTTGGAGCAGAAACTGGAAGGGAAGAAGGTTGAGTTGTTGTCAGAATACATCATGATGTGGTGGTGTCTTGGATAAGCAGTTTCCATGTTTCTTGCTGTACCAGTTGTGGGTGATGGAGGGAGATCGAAACATGGATCTCTAGCTCTGAAGTTAGAGCAGTTCCCTTGAGCTGGGAATCCCCCAAAAATACACAACTCTCAGAATACTGTCTAGAGGTTGTACGATTGTTGTGCCCCAGACCACAAATTACTTTATTTATATTTATACATTTTATACTTTCCATTGGTTAACAATTTCTAAACTTGTTAACAATGCAACAGATTAACACATAATGGTAAAGTAATAGCTAGTAATAGTGAAAGGCAGCATTTTTTAAAAAATAGCCTTACTTTCTCTTTGTAACCTACCATTTTTCCAGAATACTTGCCTGTGCTTACAGGTGAAGATACTTTTTCTTTAAAAAATCAAGCAAAAAGAAAAAGCAAAAGATTTCCCCTATTCCTAAAACACTGTTTTGGGAGAGTAGCTTTGATAGTCTATAATTTACTTTAAATTTAAATGCTTCATACCAGGAACTAAAAGAAACAGACTAGTCTGTGGTCATTCCTCATTTTTCTTCTTTTCATACTTGTATCTGAACAGTGATAAAAAAATGGCTAGCAAGCATCTATACAGGCATATGCTGGAGTTTTGTGGATTTATTCATCAGAGCGATGTTGTCTTTTAAAAAATGATCAAACTGTATAATTTTTATTACAAACAAAACATTGTAGTGAGTAACTTGAGCGCAAAAGTTAAAGGAAGTTGCTGCATTCCCATGTCATGGTAATCCACTCTGCAAGTAAGTTATGCAGTTGGGATGCTTGTGAAACAGCCCTTGGTCCTCCTAACAGACAGCTCAGCTTATCATGACTTGTTCTCCCCCTCCTTTCCACTCAGTCGTCCAGCTCACTGCAGCAAATACCCAAGTTTCCTTTGCTTGTGTCCCCCTCTCCGCTCTGATCATCTGATTACCCCTTTTCATTTACCCCTGGTCAGTCAGTCAGTCAGTCAGTCTGTCTGTCTGTGGCAGTGGCAGCTTCTGCTGCTCCTGCATTCTGAAACTTCAAAATTGCAAAATTTGCGTCTTCATTTTTCTTTTTTGGCCTCCAAAAAATGCACAACTGTGGTGGTGGTGGTGGTGGTGGTGGTTGTCTTTCACAAGTGCAAAATATGTGTATTCTTGCCTGGTTAATTTCCTTGTATATTTTACGTGGAATAGTGGGGATGTAATAGTGAATATTTAAGGAAATTAAGAAGGTAAGATTATATAAAGGCTAAGCTGAGTACAGTTACCAGCAATTGAAAATCTGTCAGTTGAAAACTACCAGTCAAGGGAGAACAACAGCAAGAGAAGCTGAAATGGGAGTGGGGAACAGTATCTCCCACTTAACAGTGGTGCTGTCTTCTCAGTTTTAAGTGTTAAGGTGGCCTTCTTCTGTACTCTTTGCATTTTCAGCACTTCTCAATGTCTCCAGCTACTCCAGAAAGGGGAGATATGAACATCCCTGCTTTTTGCAGTTCATTTTAAAAGCAGTTATAGCTGCAGTTGCTTCACTTCCCTGACAGTTCGATAGAACATCACAAATTTAATGGCTGGGAAGTAAATGAAAGGCACATTTGTGAAGTAGTTGCTCTAATGTATGTATGTAAATATGTATATATTACATTTATATACTGCCCCATAGCCCACAGGATCTCTGGGCAGTTTACATTTGTTCAATTATTATTATACTAGTTGCGGTAGGTACACAAGTTTCAATTCCACTTAATTCGAATTTGCATCTATTTCCCAGTCCAAAACAGATGCACAAATATTCTGAAAGTTTTAAAAATCTCCAAACCTTTATTGATGGCAGAATACGAGGGAATATGCAGGGCTCCTATGTCAGTAGTAATTATACCCTGCCACCATTGGGTTGCATACATGCCATCCTATTCGGGTACCTTCTGAGATATTGACTTGCATGAGTAAGTGCTTGGAAACAGAGTTGTGAAAAGTGGGGGAGACTATATATTCCTTTTCTGGACCAGCTGGAGACTTGGGGAAATGTTAAAAAGGTAGAGGGCACTGGAAAGCAATCCAACATTTAACACCAAGAAAATTGCATTGCTAAGTAGGATATATTGTCATCTCCCCATGCTTTTTTGGTGGACCTTCAAAATTTTGACTCTCCTTTCCCCCCCTAATGCTGGTGTTGTTCAGCTGACAACTTTGCACTTGGCCCCTGGCAACTGTGCACAACTTAGCCTATGCAGGCTCTTGCCTTGTCAGTAAAAATAATTGAAAAATCACAAACATGTTTGCACAATTTTCTGGATTGAAAAATGAATATATAAAAATAAAGTGAACCTGTTATAGTGGCTCTACTAGAACAAGCCATTGGTTGGCAGAGTGGTTCTAATTAAGGACATAATTCATATGGTTCAGTCTTGTTCATATAAGCTCAGCTTTCTCCTTTAAAATCTCTTAAATTGTCCAAGCTTGTCTGTGGCATATATTCAGTTATTTCACTGCATTTGTTCTTGCCCCCAGTGTTAATTTAACACAGTTTTCACTGAATTATATCTGAACATTGTTAGTTTGTGATATCAACATTCTGAAATGCTTGAAGAGGAAGCATTTGGTGAGGGGGGATTTCTTTTTATGTTCTCTGTTTGGTGTTTCAAAGTAAATGTTGCTGATAATTTTCTTTCCCACGTATCATCAAGTGTTGAGTTAAAGGAAAGAAGATTCCCCAGTAGGCTAAAATGTTTGATTTACATTTTCCATGCGCTGAGCTAACATGAACTCTTCTTATAATAAGTTGTGACCTTTTCTGGTATGCACCATGATCTTCCCCATATCCCAAGGACTTGCTGGTTCTATCATCTGTTTGTCTAATTTGATTTGTGCTTGGAAATGCACATCAGGGAGTACGTCCTCAACATTTTGAGGAAGTTTGAGGTTTAGGTTATTTTTATGTTACAAATACAGTATCCACAAACAGGAGTGGCATCAGGGATTGGCATAGTTGTACATCTGCCACATTCCACTACTGCCAGTCTCCCTCATTAGACAGCAAGAGTGCCAGTGAGGCATAACCTCTGCTCATCTGTTTCCCTGTGGGATGAGATGCCAGTTGGAAAAGGAGAAGCAGTGCCCACATAATCAAGGAGGACACACACAGAGAGAGCAGGGCCCACTGAACCCATCTTGCCTCATGGTACCCAAAACTGGAAATGTGTACTCTGTCCAATCATTAGTAAATAACGAGTCAACTACACGACAAGTTGTATTTTCAGATATCTACAACATAACTACTCACGAGCCCCCCAAAATCTTCCATAAGTGCAGAATACCGCTATCAAAATCTTGTTCAGTGCCTAGTGTTTGTTCATGTAATCCTTTTATGGATCCCTCACTTTGCTTGAAGCTAAGCAGGTTTGGGTCTGGCTACTGCCTGAGATTTCCTGTAGCCACCTTAGAAGAAAAGGGAAGGAAGGAAGGACGGAAGGAAGGAAGGAAGGAAGGAGTGTGTTGGTGGTACTGGTCTATTTCTGACTGCATTTTAAGGTGTTGGTATCACCTTTAAAGGCTTCACATCTTGGGATCAAGCTACTTGAGAGACCATGTCTTCTCATGTGAAGTGGCCCATGTTTAACGAGCTATGGATGAGCGGGGGGCAGGTGCTCCTGGCCACGTCACTGCCTATTGAAACACCTTTGCTGGCAGTGCTCAAGAGAGCTTTCTCTGTGGAAGCACCCTGCATGAGGAAGTTCCTGCCACAGAAAAAGAGGTATGCTAGGGGAACACATGAGGAGAAATGCATTGTATTATTTTAGCTTGTAAAAACTATACACCCTAGGAAAGATATGTACAGAAATATATATTAGGAGAAATGTGCACACAGTG